TTTTCGCTTTGCTTCACTAAATTACATGAATCAATTCTGTGTAAAACCTTATTAAGATAATTCTCTCCTTTTCGCAGTCTAAGTCCTGGTTGTGCCTGGTAAGCTGAACGCCTCGTCAATGCCCTTATTCCAGCATCAAAAATGCCGCAGGAGCAGCTGTTTTGCAGTCCGTAGCACGCCAACCCTGAGTTGCCGCGCTTGTAGGGGGAGGAGTTGTCGTGAATCACGTGTTTTTCCGTGTGACCACGACGCAAATGTCATCAAAACCCCTCTCATTATCACTCTCCCACAGGCAACAAAAGAAAGAACGAAAATATATCTAAGGGCAGTGCTAGCAGTGTTTTTATCTCCGCGGGGTGAGGATGCCGCGAATTCGCCCCGAGGCTACCCACCTGCATAGAAAACGGGGCACAAGGGAAGGAAAGCGCCACCACTCCTCCTCCTTTCTTTTATTGTTTTAAACATTCTTTTTAAATGTGTTTTATTATTCCACCTAAATGCAAGGAACCATTATACATAAAAGTGGCAGAAAAAGTGAACGAGGAATGATCACGTGTTTTTCTTTTATTTAATTCACTATTTATTATTTTAGTTCTTTTATGATCCTTTTAAGTATTTAATTTATTAATTTTAGTTTTCTAATGGTGTTTTTAAAGATATTAATAACTTTAGAGATTCAACTCCTCAATTACTCTTTCGCGCCACAGAGTTAAAAGAACAGAAGAGGCAAAATAGGGGATTGCTCTTTGGGTCACAGGAGGGACCAGACGTTGGTGGAACCCCGGAATGGGCCTCAGAGCTAAGTGGTCGTGAAAATTATCGGTTAAGGTATCAGGAGACATTCGTGATTTTTTTTAGTAAAGCACAGTGATTTGATAAGACCCGGTGCCTCAAGTATTTTAATGTGTCCTTGCGTTTGTGTTTTATTGTTTTTTGTTTTACCAGTGTTTGTGTTTTACGTTTGTTTTAGTGTTGTGTTTAGTGTGTTTTACGTTTGTGTTTTAGTGTGTTTTACGTTTGTGTTTTAGTGTGTTTACGTTTGTGTTTTAGTGTGTTTTACGTTTGTGTTTTCGTTCATTTTTAGTGTTTTATGTCGTGTTCTAGTTTTACCTTAGTGTTTTATGTTCAAGTTCGTCTGCTTTTATGTTCAAGTCCGTTTGTTTTATTTCTTAATGTTCTTATGTTCTCGAGTTTTAATAAATTAATATTTTAAGATTGTTTAGAGACCCCTCGCAGTACTGTAGTCAATGAGTAAGACAAGGATTGTAAAAGGAAGAAATGACCAGACCAGTATCATTATGCGCATAAGCATCGCGGGACCAATCTGCGTCCGGGAGATCTTCCCCCGCACACGTCTCCTCTCGGTTTAAAGGACACGTCTACCGTACTCTCGCACACTACATGTACACACCTTTCTCTCTCTCTCACACACACACATACACTCCCTATCTTTCCGTTCCTTACACTCTTCCTTTACACTATCACCTCACAACCATTACACTAACGTTCCCATACGTATTAAATGGGTGGTGGCAGTGAGCTATTTATCTTGCGAGAGTCTTTTCTTTCTTATACGGCCGCTACAAGGAGTAGGGGTAGGGGGAGGGGTAGGGGTTTTAAGGGTTGGGAGAGTAGGGGGAGGGGAGTAGGGAGAGAAGGGGTATTGGAAGGGGATTGAGAGAGAGGATATTTTTTTTGGTTATGTTCAAGGAAGGAAGGGTTTTTGGTTTGGGTAAGGGTCGGGGATGGATAGGGTGTGTTGGGAAGGTGTAGAAGGAAGAGGGGTTGGAGGGATGTCAGGAGGGAGAGGATGGATTTCGGTAGTCACTATGAGTGCAGCCAGAATCTGGGTAGAGAAATTGGTGGATGGCTGAGAAAGAGGAACTTTCTCGTGTGTCATATATAGAATGTTTCTAATGTCTTCGGAGATAAAATGGTAATTGGGAATTGGAATAGGAGGGTGTGTGAGGAAAGTCTCTTGGAGGCAGATAATAGATGGATTATAATAAGGAGGGGTATTAGGAGGTAGGGAATCTGGAGAAGGGCATTGTTGTGCCATGAGTGATTCTCGTGTGTATCCAGGAGGGAGTGCAAAGGATAGAGGGGATGGAGGGAGGGAGAATGTGCCTATAGTTGGGGTTGAAGGGGGTGGGTTGTGTTGGGAGGGAGTATATATGTGGGGAATATTAGTGTTAGAAGGATGAATATCGGAAGGATGGATATTTGGAGTTGAAGGGGATGTGTTGTCTTGGGAGGGATTAGGAGGAAGGGGTGTAGGGGTGCTGTAAGACGGGGATGCATATCAGGAGGATGGGTATTGGGAGGATGGATATCGGAGGTGGACGGAATTGAGGGGGTTAGGTTGTGTTGAAAGGGAGTAGGAGGAAGGGGTGTAGGGGGAATATTAGTAGGAGGGGTATGAATATCGGCAACCACTTCAAGTGTGGAAGGAGCATGAGTTATGGGATCTTGTGTCTCAAGCATATAGCTTTGTTATCCATTGTTTCTGCAGTGGAGTTGGTTGGGGGGTTTTGTGGGATAAAGGTTTCCTTATGAGGGGGGGAAGAGGAGACTGGTGTCTCAGGAATAAAGGTAAAGGTAGGTGAAGGTGATTGTGCTGTAGGGGAAGAAGGGTTAGAACGTTTAGTTTGTCTACTGCGGGTAGTGCGGGGAGGGAGAGGGGGTGGTGTTGGGGCTGTAGTTGAGATAGGGTGTCTGGGTTTAGAGTGGCAAAGGAATTGGTCTGAGGGATGTAGAATGTAGAAGTGGAAATGGGGACTTCTTGGGATGGAGGGGGAGGGGCTGAGCGAACGATGTTACTAGAGTATGGAGTATGAGAGAAACCTTGTCGACGTGCTTCCTGTCTGGCTTCACGTAAAATGAGACCATTTTTGTATCTGAGAGTTGCTACCTCAGATTCAAACTTGTAAGTGGGACAACCTCTATAAAATACATTATGGGGGCCGCCGCAGTTAGCACATGTTCGCGTTTGTGCTGAGCAGTTTGATCGGTTATGACCAGGTTGGGCACAATTGGGGCATCGGTCTGTGGAACGGTAATGTTTGGCAGGATGTCCAAAGCGCCAACAGTTTTGACATTGACGGGGAGGGGGTTGGTATGGTCGAACAGGGAGGGAATGGTCACCAATGTAGATACGTAAGGGAAGGTCATGTGTACGGAAGGTAATTTTGGCAATGTTGGTCGGATTCTTTTGTTGACCTTTAGGAGGAATGGTGTAGCAATGTACTGATTTCACATCTTGGTCTTTGAGGCATCCTAATAAGTCTTCTCCACATTCTGCCAAATCTTTGGTATCGACTGGGCAGTTTGCTGGGAGAGAGAGACAGTTCCTGTACAGGTATAAGGGTTGGATGAGTTCTGCAGGATGGGGTTGCCAGAATATCAGTTAAATTTGATAGTGCTATAGATTCAGTTTCTGATCTGACTGTTACAAGACAGGAGCGATTGCGTCTGGTATAGAAAGGGACTCTACCTACTTGTTTTTGGAGGCATTGTTGAAAGAGAAGAGTATTGCCTGAGTAAGGAGCTGTAGAAGGGATCACGAAAAATCGGTCCCATTTAGCTGGGCTAAACAGAGTATTTAAGATATCTGTAGGGTTGGTGGTGGTGGATGGTCGGGGACGTGTGGAAG